TGCTCTCCCTTAAAATGGGACTGAAAGGTGGCATTGAAAAAATCCGGGCATCCGCTGGGCCCTTCTGTGCATTGTGTGTGTCTGGGCTGGGCTCATGCCTCCTCCAGGGAGGTGGGCTAGGCATGGCCAGAACATCTCTGCAACAGAGAAGCAAACCCTGGCCCAGGCGAGAAGAGCCCTCGCAGGCAGCCGAGCTGTGCTCGCCGAGCGTTTCAGGACCAGCCATTGGCATTACAGAATGGTTTCTCACTCCGCACCGGATACAGCATGTGTATGGAAGATAGGCTCTTGCTAATAATTAGTCAGAGTCGCTTTGCAAATGGACTTGCTGCTGCTGCTGCAGATGCCTTCCTATCTTTAAAACATGAGCTTAATAAACCAGGAAAAAGTGGCCCAGTACTGCAAAATACTGAGTGCTGGCTGCAGCACTTATGCTGCTTTACTAAAGCCTGACTGTTACACTAAGTTACACTTAAGTCACTTAGATCTAAGTCACTTAGATCCCTGCAGGTCTCCAAAGGCATTCAAGTACGCGCCTCATGTGCCTTTCTTGGTTTGAGCCCTGAAACAGGGCAGGCTGGAGGAGGGAGAAGCAAGGTCTGTTTCTGGCTTTTTTTTATTGAATAACCCTGGCCCATCCTCCCATTTCTTTATCTCACCCCCCTCCCTCCAGCTCCCTGTCTTTGCCTGGTCAGCGTTAGACCCCACATCACCTGAATAGAGGCCCTTTCATGGTCTGCCTTTGTCACCTGGTGTGGGGTTTCCATTTTCAGCCATCATTGTATGGGAAACAGAAACTCTCCTGGCTGCGGAGGGAGCGTTAGAAGATTTCACCTACCCTGGAGCAGGCTACAGGTATTTCCTCCAATGGAAAAAATAAATCTATCATCATCTCATTTCAACTAAATTTATGTCCCTGTAAAAAAGAGCTGGCTGCGTTTCTTACCTGAAGTGTGAGTGAAGAACTGCACTGCCAACTGAGTTTCATCCCTTAGGGTTTTTGTTTGCCTGCCGTGGACTGATGCTGAAGATGGTGTGAGAAGTTTTTTTGCTTGCAGGCCAGACTGCCAGCCGCAGTGGTGCAGCTGGTGTTTGCTGGGATTTCTTCATGGAGCCCTTGTCAGCATGAGATGCCAGGCTGCCTTCCCTGGCTCGTGGTCACCGTGGCCAGGGTTGCTTGGCTGAGTGGGGTTTCAGGACTGAGCCTCATGTTGCTTTTCAGAGAGAAGAAAAGTAAAACTCCACAAAACCACGTAACCAGCAGGGTTTTTCTCCACCTGGTAATCTCAAAGCAGTGCAGAGCATTCCCTGAGGGAGTGATGCGCAGAAGCCAGGGCTCCTGCATCACCCCCACAAACACCACCACTGCCCTTCGGCTTGTGTGGGACCTCCTTAGGGCGAGCAGGGGCTTTAACATGGGGAAAAACATGTTGGAGAGGGCCGTCTTTCACCTCCTTTTCTCTGAGAGGTAAGTTCCTTGGATTTGGAGCACACCTTGTTGCCTCTGCGAGTATCTCTGGCAGCATGCTGGCCCCCGAGCCTCGGCGGCAGCTCTTCAGAGCCATGCAGCCCAGCTTTCATCTCTCTGTGCAAGCCCTGAGAAAGAGAAAGAGAATTGGGAAGAGTTACTTGCATTGATTTTGACAGCTTTTCCAGCTTCTTGCACACACCATCATTTTCAAGAGGCTCTGGGAGGTGCTTGGCAAGTCTGTCCATAAGGGAAACAGCCACGGCACCAGCAGGAGGCTGCATGGACAAGCAGTACATGAGCTCCCGTCCTCCGAGGGCAGTGGGGCCACGCTCTGGAGCCCTCCTCTCCACCCACAGGGATTAAAAACCTATTTGGCAAATGAAGAAATCATCTCCAAAGGTCTTGCACTTAATCTGGAAGAACTCTGTGGAGTCTGTCATCTCCTGCCATCCGCCCATGGCCTGGAAACCTGTCCGGGCTGCAGAGAGAGGCGGCAAGCCCCCAGGGCCTGGGACCGGACGTGTGAGCCAGCAGAGCTGGCTTCTAGCTGCAGTGCTGGCTGTGAACCTTGGCCTTCCTATTTCTGCACTTCTCACCCCGTCATTTGACCCCCTCCTTCAAAGCAGACCAAATCCTGTTCCCTAATTAAGTAAGTGATGTATTAAATCACTTTGGTAGCACTTAAACATGCTCTTGCAAATAGGCTTTTCTTCTCACCTAAATTTACAGCAGCCAAAAGCTGCAACATGGCTGTGGGGGTGTTGTAACGTAACATTAATTAACAGATGAAGTTTTAGCAAAGGAAATGTAAATTTTAGACTCTTCCAATATTATCTAGCAGCGGTAATTTTCTTTCTCATATTCCCATGGTGAGGCAGTGGAAAAAAACATTGGTAAGGTAATTATTATAAATAATTGTGCCTTGGAAGTCATTAGAAATGTAGCATTATTTATTTATAGATATATCCATTAAATTTATCATTGTAGCTGCATCTTCTAATGAATGCTTTAGAGTTATAAAATTAATACAAAATGTTATGAGCATTTCTTTCTCCCAATCTCTAATCCTACAAGGATGGAAATCAGTGAATAATAAGGGAATTTAGTACATACTGCAGGGAAGGAAGGGGAGAGCTTTTGAGGATAGATGTGTATTCCAGTTAAAGCCAAAAAGTACACAAATGAAGATGTATGTGCAAATGAGCTGATGCACAGGGTTAAGTAGTTAATAAGTTAAGCTGATAAGTAGATGATCTCACTGAGTGAAAAGTGGCAAGTGACGGTTGTCTACAGAACAGCTTTTTCTTCCTTTGCTGTGTCATGCGAGTGACACAATCATGAAGATCCATCTCTCCTTTACCACATGCACAGGTGGGAGAGATGTTCTTCATGCAGTGCCCTCTTATGCCCTGATATTTTCCTGCCCGTGGGATCCAGGGGTTGTATGTGGGTCCTGGACCCTCCAAGAGCAGCAATCGCTGCCTCTGAGCCCCTCACCGTCTCAGAGGCTCCCAGGGTGGCTGGCCAGCGGTCCATGTCCTGGTATTGATGCCCAGCTGCACCCTTCAGATGGGGCTTTGCATTTCCCAAGTGAAACTAGGGCCAGGAGGTGCAGCTGGGAAGAGGAAGACCCAATGCAAGACCCAAAGAACCCAGCTGGCTCCCTCACCCACTCAGGCTCCTGCCTCCCAAGCCGAGCCGTGTCGCCGCATCATAGGGGTGGCATGCTCTCCTGCCTCCTCCCCACTGCAGAGGTGGCCCCCAACATGGCTTTAAAAAAAAAGAAGCCCTAATTATAATAATAGTGCTCAAAGAGTCCTCTCCAGGGATGTAGGCAGAAATTGCCTCCTTCCAGGATGCTGGGAATGAAACGTTTGAAATCTCAATGTCCTTGGGAGCATGTAAGAGTCCAAACGATCATGCTTTTGCCCACCAGGTACAGACCTTTAGGACTGTCTGACTAGATGGTAAGATCTGAAACTGGCTTTGCCCACAAACAGCAGTCCCTACTCGTTTCTGGAGCAGAGAGTGTAAAGCATTGTCATTGACTGGTTGTTTCAGCCGGTACTGTGAGCGCTGTGTTCTCTGTCAGTGTGTCCCAAAGGATCAAATTCTGCCTATTGCTAGGACAAAGGATAGTCTTAGTCTCAGGTGGCAAGGAATTTGTCGATGTAAGGTATGCTTCTATGGGGGAAAAAACCTTTGTGTGTGGTGAGTCTCTGTCATGCCTGTTTCATTTGGGCTTTCCAATGGTGATAGGGGAAAGCGGAGCCTGAGGTCTCAGTGCTGGTACCAGAGGTTTGCCTGGGGCTATGAAGAAAGGTTATGAAACCAAAATGAACCTGAATATGCTCAAGTGCTTCCTTGAATGGCACCCTGAGCCATTCATCTTGGAAAACTATTTATAAAGCCAAAATAGAAATATAAATCTTGAAGATGTATCTGTGTTATTTTGAAGGGTTATTGCTTCTGCTTCATGGCCTGGTTTCTGAGCCTCTGCAAAAAATCCCATCAGCTTTGGCAGGCCACGAATTAGGTCACTGCTTCATTGGCATCTTTCAAAATAGCTCTGAAATAGATAGTAACAAAGATATTTAAGGCGAGATAAACCACATTCATTTTGATGGTGCTTGATAATAAATTATTAGTTTGAGTTTGGATAACAAGGCCTTATGAGATTATTAAAACAGTCAATGAGGCTAAAACCTCTATACTGTTGTACACCACTATGTAGTTAGGGTTGATGCTGCGTGCGAGAACTTACTGGCATTGTCTTTGCTATTCCCAACTTTGCTTCCAGGTTTACATGAGGTAATTGGTATATATAGGCCACAGACAGTAACTTTTTAACTCTTTGCTAACTTGATCAATTAACTAGTTAGTTAGACAAAATAACCCTCAGTTATCCAAACCTAGTTTCAAGTTAGAAAGTTTCCAGCAGTCCAAAGAAATGAGTGAAATTTTACTTGTCATGATAGACCAAGAATTGTTGCAGGACTGACACTTGTCAGTAGGTGAAAAGAAGGCAGTATTTTTGTTTTAGCACTTTCCCTTTTTTCCCTGAAGCTGAGCAGAAGTTAAAAGACATCTCCCCAAAGCTGATTAGTGGCCAGAGCACTGGTGAGACACCCCAGGTGCATGGTGACTGCAGGTGCTGTGTGATGTGGGCCTGGAGCTGGGCACAGGGGGGGCATAAACCACCTCCAGGAAGAAAGGAGTTAATGGCTTGAGCATTAGCACCTGAGCAAAGAGAAAGCACGTCCACCCTCCTCAGCCTTAGTGTTGTGCCTGTTACCTGTGATGCTTTATCAGAGTCCAAGATGCCGTAGCTCTCTTACTTTCCCAGCTGTGCACGGGCTTGTTCTGTTGTCACTAGAGCTTGCTGTGTCTGCCGGTTGTTAGAGGTTGCTTGTAGCCACTGGTCAGTGCTTCTGCGGTTCTGGTCATTCACCACGTTCCCGTGTGAAACCAGACATGTCCTTGTCACTGTCCAGAAAAATAAATGCTTTTATCTCTTTGTATTTTTCAGATAATCAACCCCAATTTCATTCAAGAAGGTGAGTTAAGGACAGCTGTGCACTGACTGGCACAGAGGGGCAAGTCAGCAGCTGTGATTTTCTCGGGTGCAACAGCATGCTCCGCACCCACCAGCCTTTCCAGCAAAGGCAGCTCTCTGCTGCTTGGCAGGGCTGGTGTGCTCCCCAGGGAGAGCACTCCTTCTGCTGGCTGCTCGGCTCAGACAGCCTGGGGCCGCAGGCGAGGCTGAACCTCCCCAAACCTGCCTTCAAATGTCTCTCCCTCCTGCCAGAGCACAAGCCTGGGGGGCAGGCAGTCCCAGCTACCCCCTTTGCTGAGCTGTTGACAGCTGGCTTTCAGTGAAGGGGAAGTTTTGGTAATGTAATCCCAGGACCCTGGGCTGTTTGAGACCCAGATTTCATAGTTAGTCCTATAACATACTCTCTAGACCTGCAAGGCGAGCAACCTCACCTGTAGATTAAAAGAAAGTGTCGTGTGTGTGTCCCCACATTTTTTTCCAGTGGCTCCAGAGTTTCTAGTGCCGTTAGTGGACATCACCTGCCTGCTCGGCGACACAGTGATATTGCAGTGCAAAGTCTGTGGACGACCCAAACCAACTATAACCTGGAAAGGACCGGATCAAAACATTCTTGACAATGACAACAGCACGGCCACTTACACAGTGTCATCCTGGTAAGGTTCTGCCTGTGGATCCCAATGTAGCTGGTCATGATGGTCGTGTAGCCCTCAAATATGGCACCAGCCGGGCTACAAGTCTCATTAGAAATGCAGTTAATCAGGTCTGGCATGGTGTATTGGCGCATTGCTGCACCACGCGTCAGCAAGAAAGGGTCAAACTTTGGCGTTTGGGTAGCTCTATCATTTCCCAAGCTGACATAGGGTATATCCACGAAGTGTGTTGCTGGCAGACATGAGCTTGCTCCTATTGACCTCCTGAGCCAGCTGCAAACCGGAAGGCAGAATGTTTCCAACATATTAGTTTGGCTAATATTGCCTCTGCGTTGCTGGGGCTTCTCTGCTTGAGTTTGATGCCATGCTCACCTTTGGTAGAATCAGGATTCGAGCAGAGCAAGCCCTCACTGGCTTGCAATACCCATATCATTGGGCGTTTTCTCATCTCATGGGCAGAGGTGGTAACTCCTGCAGTTTTCCCGAGCCTCTCCTCAGCTGTTCTTAAAAAAGCGTACATGTGCTCCTGGGAAGGCTACATCTGGCTGTGCTTGGACAGAAGGATGCTTGTCATGATTTTCCCGGCCTGGCTAGGGGGAAGGAAAACCATCTCTGCAACTAACAGTGGGAATATCCAAAAAGATCTGGAGTTGAATTCAGGTCAGGTAATAGCCTGCTGCTGGATGCTCATCTGCAGCTTATACAAGCAATTTGGGCCAAAGTGCAGTGGAAATCTCCGGGAAGCAATCTTTCATACGAACTTTTCAGCACTTCTGGCTCAGGCTGAGATGAATCCAGGGAGTACAAAGCCACTGAAAGTAAAAAATGAACACTAAGAGAAGGGATTTTACATCTTCAATAAAAAAAAAAATTACATCTGATCAAGAGCTTTTTTCAGAGACCATTGGCTTGTGCGGCTACACCGGCGCACCCAAAATTGTCTTTTTAGCCATTATTCAGTAGATTGCTCGTGCCTCATCTTCAGGATCTGGCTGGGGTTGGGATAGGGGGATGTTTCCACGCAGGGTTCTGTTTTCCGTCGCAGTCTTTCTCCTGTGTATTATCAGCACTTGTATTGTCTTGTTACTCGTATTTGTTTTTCAGTGAAGACACTGCCTGCCAAGGAGGGGCCCAGCAGATCGGTGGCTGTCTTACAAATCTTGCTGGCATGAGTGTCCAGATTGTGGGGGAAGGGGATATTTCTGTCTTGTTTTAAACCACCATAGTCAGACCAGCAAAAACCGCAGCGTCCATACCAGCAACCACGTCCTTCTGCAGTTTCCGATAGATTACGCATTCAAGAACTAGTTTACTTTTGCCATCAAGGGGATTTATTGTTGGCTCTAAGCTGGGTCTCCAGTACAGCTAAAGCAGTTACACAAGCAGAATCCTTTAATTCAGGCCAACTCCCTTAAATTGCATATTGAAGACTGCAATGCGCAAACTGAAGTGACTATATACAGACCTGCTATAAATTCACTAGAGTCCTCCCTAGAGCTGTTTATTTGCTCAGATTGGCCCAAAGATTGAGTGTCTCTCACAAACTCAGCACTGACATTCTTTATCCCTAGCAGTTGTGAGATGTCCAGCCTTCTGACCGGGGGTCTGGCAGCCTCATTAGATCAACGGCAGATGCTCCAGGGGTCTGAAGCTTCCCAGAAATGTCAGGCACCCTGCGCTGTGTGACTGCCTTCTGCATCTGTGGGAAGACCCATTTGTCTGGCGTGTGTTGGACTTAACTGCAGAGGCACAGCAGCTCAGTGTCTCCCAAGATAGGAAAGATGCACCTGGGGAAATCTGTCCAGATATATGGAGTCTAAGCATCCAGCTCTGGACAGGCACAGCAAATGTTCAGCTCCTGGACTTTGCTTGCTGCTTGAGTGATCCTTCCCCATGTCCTCTGAGGCCACAACAGATAAGTAGATTTCCTGGCAGGCAATTTGGACCATTCTGCTCGAAGGTTTCATTAACAGCCTAATCCTGACATATGGAGGGGTGGTATTTGGGTACCAGATTGCTGGAGGGATGTTCCTTCAAATGTGTTAACAGGATTTGTGTGCACGTGTGTTTGTAATGAGGCAGGACAGGAACTTGTATAAAAAGCATTAGCAAGTGAAGCAGCTGTAATCGGGGCTTCCTGCATCCACAGTGACTCCGGGGAGCTCACCTTGAAGATCTGCAACGTGATGCCTCAGGACAGCGGCATTTACACCTGTGTGGCAACCAATGAACACGGAACCGCATCGACCTCTGCAACCATCAAAGTTCAAGGTAGCACATCTGACCTTAACACCCAGGATTTTTCCTGTACGGCGTCCCTTGGTGGGGGCTGGGAGCACATGAGAATAGGTGGTGCAAAGGCAGCCGGACGTGGAGCTGTGCCAGGTGAATTGAGACGTTAAAATCATACAACCATTCCTCAGCCAAGACTCCCACTGATGGCTGAAGGCATCGCAGACTCCTTGCGCTTGATTAAGTCGTCTGATCATAAGTATCACATCTGGGAAATGAAAATGCGTTGGCACTGGTTCAGCTCCTGCGTCCTGCTCGCAGCGCTGCTTCCCAGGGGCTCAGTGAGGTTGACCGGGGGAAGCTGAGCTCCCTTGGGCTGCCGAGCCACTGGGGGCATGACGCCCCGGCTGCCCACAGGGAGCTCTGTGCTTTAGAGCCTGCCTGGAGTGGGGCACCTGGGATCCAGTGACACTGATTTTCAGCCTCCCCTTCTCTGGGGGGATGGAGGAGGTGAGAGTAAGGCTTGGCCTGGGTGAACTGTTCTGCAGGGACTCAACTTAGGGACAAATCTCCGAGCCTGAATTCTCAGCACTGTAATTAATGAATGACCCATCTAATTGTAATGAATATGAAATGATGAGTTGATGCTCATGACCTCCAGCTCCAGGAAGGGATCTGTTAGCATGAGAGATAAGGGGTGCCTGCTGTGTTGAAGGGGATGGCACAGAGACAAATGTCTAACTGGTGACTTACAGATGCAGGAGTGTTACAACCATTTAGAAGTCAGTTTGTTTGGTCTCACAAACTGCCCTAGAGATATAATTTCCCGAATTTATCCAAGCAAGTTAGCAGCTGCACTAACTACTCCTGTGCTGAAGGGAGCCCTGAGCAAAACACAGAAGAATTACTGGCCATTTGTCAATCTGCTGCCAAACATACCAAGAGCCATACACCGAGAAGCACTTTGAGTGGCTTTCTTGTGCAATTTTTGGACATTTCAAGGTGATTCCCCACCTCCAGAACCTCACTCACAGCTTGGTGAAGTCCACGACAATATTTGTTTTCCTCAGTTCCATGGGCTTTGCATCAGGCCTTGAGCTGGAGCAAAAATTAGCAGCAGAAGGTGGCAGGTAAAGAGGCTCTGCCTTTACAGCGGCTGAGCTCAGACAGATCCTCTGCACCCAAGGGGCAATTCTCCCAGTCTCGCAGGGAGGTCCCTGGGGTGTTGCAGTCCAGTTGACCACCAGCTCTGAGCAACAAGATATTCCCCTGCCCTGTAATACTGTGAGACCATGTCAATGCAGCAGGGCCTGCAAGCAGCACAGTTCTCTCCTAGCTGCTTGTATTGAGGTCTCAGACCCACAGTGGTAGGCGAACAGGACCATGACATTGCCTCTGGTAGTGCTGGTAACCCAGAGCACTCCCTCTGCAACGCGCAGCTGACATACCTGATACACCTGATCTTCAGAATAAAGCACTAGCACTTGCTGATGTGATGCTGGACTTGGTGCTTGTTTTCTCTTCCCAAGGTGTCCCAGCTGCCCCAAATCGCCCCATTGCTCAGGAGAGAAGCTGCACCTCTGTGATCCTACGCTGGCTACCCCCATCCAGTACAGGCAATTGCACCATTTCAGGCTACACTGTGGAGTACAGAGAAGAAGGTATGTAAGTGGTTTGAGCTGTGCTTGCTAGCTGGGAGAATGAGAACGAAGTAAGTCTCCTTTATGGCACAACAGGTCCCAGAAGCAGCCTTGCCACCACTGGGGTGCCACTAGCCATTGCTCACAGATCCCAAAGTCTAAGGCCAAAAGAAGCCTTTCTATCATCCAGTCCAACTTCTCATATATTACAGACCTCTCTGTTTCCTCCAGTCATTTACAGCAAGTAAAGCGTGCTAAGCTAAAACGTATCCATCACTAAGGCATCCTTTCATCATTTGCATTTTACCACCATGGTATCCATTCTTTCTGGCGAATGTTTCCAGGGAATGCAAAAACAAAGCAGCCTTATTATTTTTTTGATCCGGATGGATTTGCAGATCCCTGCATACTTTTCAAGCTCAGCTCTGAAATCCATGTGTTCTTAGATCCAACCATCCTTTTCCCTTGAAGAATTAAATAGATATTAAACACACTGTTTTCCCAATATGCACAGGCATGTGTTATGCCTATTGCGCTCTTGAAAAGAGCATTTTGAAATGATTCATATCCCTTTTTGCATTCTTCCTACAAAGGTGTCAGGGTCCCTGGGCAGTAAACCTTGCCTTAGGTATGTGGCCTCTGTTTTTTCCCCTTCATCCTTCAAAAAAATCCTACCTCATGTTAGTAAATGTGCAAACTTAATCACTCCATCATATTAATACCACCTCTTAGCAAATACTTTGCCTTGACCCTCACTATGCCATCAGTGTGATTGTCATTTTTGTGAAAGAATAAAAGCTCTTCTATTCACAACAGCCACCAAAACAAACAGCAAAAAAGCACCAGTGTTTTCAGTTTTCAGTATTCTTCCCACTCCAGAGGAATCACTGACTCTTCTCTGTAAAACCAGCCTTGACCTTGTGAGACCTGGCAATCAGAATTTGCTCATAGTGCACACAAAATATATGGGTCATGGTAAATAGTGTAAAGATAAAAGGCCCTGAACTTACTAAAATAACATAACATTTTATATATTCTTGAAAGAAATAATAGGCTGTGACTGGGCACAGTGTCCCAGGAGTCCTTTTCTGTTCTGTGACCCTGTGCAGATGAATAAAGCATTGCTCCTTTGGATGCCACAGGTTGGGCAATTGTTGGGTTTGCTTCTGCGAGGAGCAGAAACACATTGCAGAGCCACACATTTCTCTGCTGCAATCCTGCTCATCTGCAAAAAGACCATACTAAGCCTCAGAAAGCTGGTTCTCCTCCTGCAGCTCCGGGTTTCACAGTAGCCACCATGTCTTCTGAGAGACTTCATCTGCAAAAGCACTTCAATTGCACTGACGCCCTGTCTCGGCTTTACCTAGGACTCCCTTGTCCATACTTTTTTTTGCAGTATTTTTGCTAGCGATTCTCTCACAGCAGAGCTGTCACCAAATCAGCTCTCCATTCCTGGCTTATCACACTGCCCTGAGACATCACTTGTAGTACACAGCCACGGCTAGACTGCTGGAGAGGTCAACTTGTCCCTGGGCTGTGTTTTTTCCATCACTATTGGTCAAGGCAGGGGCATTTCCTTCTTCCCTCATTTAACCAGACTGGAAGGTGGCTGCAACACAAAATAGCTTCCTACGGTCTGGTTCTAGTTTAACAGAAATACATCAGTCTGCCGTAACATTGCCTTTTAAAAACCTTTGGATTTTAACCTCCCAGGGTACTGCATGAGTTGGGCAGAGAAAGCCTGTGCTCTGAGTTCACATATTGAGACTGTTTCCTTCTGCTTTCCTCTCCCTCCATAAAACGCAGGCTCACAAGTCTGGCAGCAGTCAGTAGCCTCAACTTTGGACACGTACCTTGTCATTGAGGACCTGGCCCCAGGCTGCCAGTATCAGTTTCGAGTGAGCGCCAGCAACCCCTGGGGGATCAGCTTGCCCAGTGACCCGTCTGAATTTGTAAGGCTCCCAGAGTACGGTGAGTGGGGCACAGCGAGGAGGGGCGGATGCGCGCAGGTGTCCGCCTTTGTGCAGTCAGTATGGCAAGATAGACTTGTGCTTTGACAGGTCCCAATAAAAACGCTGATTCTGGAGCTGGTAGGAATACAAGAGGAAGCCTGGGAGGTGCTCAGAGCCAGCTCATGCCACTAGAAAGGCTTTTCACATCTGCTCCTCCAGCAGGACTCACAGCCTCCCTCTGTCACAGAAGCTATTGCAGCTTCCTAGCAGGTCCCTGCTTTCTATCCAAAGACCATTTCTTGTCTTCGTCTCTGGGCAACTGGTTCCATGTCCTGCCCACTGCATCCCCTGCCTTTCCACAATACCGGTACCACCAGGGGCTTCTGCCGGGCAGCCCAGCTGGGGTCTGCAAGTCAGCTTGCAAAATGTAACCCTCCAAGCAATGCAGCGTAGGAAGGCTGCAGTGGAGGTGAGCCCCCAGCATACAGAGCTGCAGGAATTTGGGGTACAGCTCACTCATGATGGTGCTGTGAGCAGAGCCCACATTTCCCCATGTTTTAGCAGCTCCAGTTTGTAACTAGGTCTGTGACTGGCTTGAATAGCCTGTGCTGGATGAAATGAAAGCTCACGTGGCATATTTGTAGCTCCCAGTGACACACAGACATGCCCTTAGACTGTCCATACGGCCCTTTTTAGACCAAAATTGCAAGGACAGATTTGAATCCACCTTATCCACGCCTTCTTCTGGGGAACTCCGGCTTTTAGTGGTGCAACACATTGGAGCTGTGCCTGAGCAGTATGAAACTAGACTCTTATTTACGGTTTTAAGTAATATAGTCTCCCATAATTTTAAAATATGCAGTTTATAGTCCACTGGAAACTGTCTTTAATTTTATACTTTCTTGAATGTCCTTTGTTCTCCCAAAGACTCTGCTGCTGATGGTGCCACTATTTCATGGAAGGAAAACTTTGACCTCGCTTATGCAGAGCTGCATGAGATTGGGAGGTAATATTAACCCTGCTTATCACTGCAATAAAACATCAAAACGATGGCTTGAAGCTTTTTCCTTGGAGGAAAGTTTACAGTGCTTTTTGTAGTTAGCTTGAAAACTGCTGCTCCTTGCAAAAGCACGTTAAGTACTGATTAAACTATAGAGTGGCTAAAATATGGACTAAATCCTGTTTTGTCAAGATCAGTTGTGATTTGAGGATTGCAACCTGGCAAACTTGTGAACAATTAGGCAGCCAAATCTCTGAGAGCCACTGCTAGCTTTCGCTGGTATCTTCTCTGACATCTCTGATTTTATGTGAGCTTTTGAAGTCATGACAATGTGCTGGTTCTGGATAAGCTTAACCTCAAAGACTGAATTTGATGAAGCACATGAGGCATGTGACTGACTTAAATCACATGCCGAAGCACTTTGCTGATGGGATGGTCAGTTGAACAGCAGCCTAAATAAGAGCTGCATACGTTGTCAGACGTCGGTGCTCTGCGCAGACAACAGATAAGGGGCACGCAGACAATTCAGGTTAATGCAGTTCATTCTTCAGCTGAGAGATATGAGGCAAGTAATTCGGGGGCTGAAAGGACAGGAGTCTCTCTGGTTCTGTAGAAAGAAGAGTGATGTATTAATAAGAGGCCAAGTTCAGCACACAGTTTCACTGAGTATTTTTACTTTCAGAAATGGTGCTAGGCTTTTTTCTTAATTTCTTACTGTGTGCCTGAAACAGTGAGACAAAATGATAGGTTAGTGATTATTTAGCAAGGCTTTTCTTTTAGCTGTCTGAGAATGTTTGGGCTCTTTATTAAAGCAACTGGAGAAGGGAGACCCCAAGCTAAAAAAAGAGATAGAACCTGTAAAAGTGGCAGCAAATTGAACCCCGGGGAGATTGTTAGAGGACATCTGTATGGCTGCACAAAGCAAAGTGACACTGTTTACTCTCAGTGTTTGCTAATCCCCAAAGAATCTCTACACCCAGAGTAAGAGATGGAGGCTCTTTGTTGGAAAAGTTATGAACAACTAGTTAAATCTAATTCCTTGTGAAATATTAATGCAATGAATCAAATAACACTTCAAAAATCAGTCTGTTATTGCACTGAAAACTAGTAATTATTTATTCATGAGGCTCCTTCATTATTCTGTTGTGGTTTTTTTTTATTTCAGGGGTCGATTCTCCATAGTAAAGAAATGTGTTCACAAAGCCACCCGGAAAGACGTTGCTGTAAAATTCATCAGTAAAAAAATGAAAAAGAAAGAGCAAGCAGCACAGGAAGCAGCTTTGTTACAGCACCTACAGCATCCTCAGTATATCACTATCCATGATACCTACGAGTCTCCTACTTCTTACATCTTAGTTTTGGAACTGTAAGTATGTGGAGCTTGAATTCAAGTGTCTGGGTAGGAATCACAGCCCTCTTAAAGCCAAGGATAAAATTCACCCTGACTTCAGCAGGGCAAAGATTTTATCATCTATTTTTTATTGATTGTGATGTCAAATGAAATAGTCATTTTCTGCAGAGCTTCCACTGCCTTTTCTTTACAGTAAATAAGATTCAGAGGGACAAATAAAACTGCTTTCTACTCCGGTGAAGCTTGGGTAATTGTATCAGCAGGTAGTTTGTCCCATTGAATAGCATCAGATTTATTTGGGCAGTTTTTTCCACCTTTTATATTCAAGTAAATGTGTTTCAGCTAGACTGAAGCCTGCATTGTTCTAATACTTCTTTGTGAAAAGAGCTGTGTAGCAACTATGCTTGCCTCTGTAAGGTAGAAGTAGCAATCAAAATCCAAAATGCTTCTTTGTTACAGTATATCCAACAAAGTATATTTGGGCTATTTATTTATTTATGCAGATAAATAAAAGTAGATGGCAAACTTTTATTGGGTTAGTTTTCCCACAGAATATATTACCAGCTGAAAATGTCAGTGTTTTCTTTTCTGCATTATGCAACCAGCTCTATAAATAATTAGATGAATCCAAATAATTAAGAGGATCTGTTTTCAAAGGAATTGCCTCCGTCTATTGAATCCATCCTTAAGCAAACGAGTTTACTTTGAGACTGTTGCTAAATCTTTCAAGGACCAGAGATAACAACTGAGGATTAATCATTCTACCACTTCCATGGCCTGCAGTATCTTGAGATATCATTAAATGCTCATCAGATCTTCCATTTTAGCTTCCTCTATTTTTAGGTCATGAAGTTTCCATTGCAATTTTGTTTTCAAATATTAACTGGTCCTAGAGATACCATGTGATCTTTGATGTGCACTGTTTGATTGGTTTGTAGGATGGATGACGGTCGTCTCTTAGATTACTTAATGAACCATGATGAACTCATGGAGGAAAAAGTCGCTTTCTATATAAGAGACACAATGGAAGCCTTGCAGTATCTTCACAATTGCAGAGTGGCTCACTTAGACATAAAGGTAAGAAGAAAAGAGAATGATGGTATTATTCAGTGCCCTAGTACAGAGAGTTCCTAGCTGCACAGGCAGGGAGGAGGTGCAGTCTGTACCCCAAAGAGATGATCACTAAATGGAGAAGCACTATCTTTCAGACCTCTGGACAAGAGAAAGGACTTACTGACCTGCAGCACAAGGTCTTTTTCTTCCTTCAGACAAGAGATGCACCTATTTCCTTGATTCACTGGTTTATTCTCAAGGACTTTCTGGATTTAATGAAGGAGGAGGATGTCTGAGACAAGAGTGAGGTGTTACTAGCACCTGATTGAAGGGGAATTATAAAATAAATCCACAGGGTATGGTTTAGGCTTACACATGTATCAACTTAGCTACCAAGCTGGTAGCTGGCTTGTGCCCAGGCAAAGGAAGGAGCAAGGGAAAGCAGCATTCTGCATTGTGCTGCAGAGCCTGAGAGGGGAATTGGGTGGGAAATACACCCCGGGAGAGGTGCAGAGGAAGAACAGGCTGCATTGTGGAGATGAAATTCAGGCAGTCCCTAATGTCACGCTCATTTACATCAGCACAGCTTGTACCTCCTTTTGTTAGCACACATGGCAGGAGGCACTGCACTGTCCTGGATTCGGCATTGTACTGCTGTCCTCACCAACATCCCAGCTATCTTGGATCACAGAGAATTAGCGATTGAAGTTATGATCAAGTGTTTTGAGTTTTGTGATCTGCAACATTGATTCTGGTTGCCAGGGATATCAGATAATCTATAAGGTTCTTTTCAGACTTAAATGCCAATTAAAAATGGAGAATGAGATAAGAATTTAACTTCCTTGTATAGCGGACAATCCAGCTCCAAGGAGATCTCTTCTCAACTCTCAACCTCCAGGCATGTCAGATGAAGTGATGCTTTTATTCTTCTGCTGCCTACTACCACTATAGAAAAAAAAAAAATATTCCTTTTGTACAGTACCTTATATGAGCATTAGTCCCAAAAGGCTAAATCATCGTGGTTTCTTTCAGTAAGATTATTTGTATTTTCTGCTGTATTTATAGGACCTGTCAAAAAGTAGGTATCACTTGGAGGTAAGAAACTGCACTGAATTCTCTATTTGATCATAAGATACTTCCCAGAAACAAGGTGGGAAGCCAATTTTCTGTGACCTATTTACAGTTCTCCTGAATGAGAGATGCTAAATAGGGGACCTTCTGTTGCTAAGTGGCAAGTAGGAGATGCATTGGTAGTGACAGCAGACCTAGCCATGGACTGTCTTGTCCCAGGATCCTGCTCAAGAACGTGTTGTCTTTGTTGATGCAGGCAGCACAAGAGAAGAGCAAGTGGAGAGATCTGAACAGCAGTGTAGTGAACTTTGCTTTATATATATAGCCATGAGGCAGCAGTAAAATATGCATGAGGATGAGGGGCTATGAGACAGAAAAATGAGTCTAAGGAGGGTGCAAGACATAAATTCAGAAATCATCTCAGAGGCAACAAAGGAAGCAAAATCCATGTTAAGTCCCCAGAGCGGAGTGTATAGGCAATGCTCAGCATCTCCCACTGAGAGGCAGAGAGAACTCTTAAATACTGAAAGAGCTGGTAAAAGAGAGGGAAGACCAACTGGCATGAAATATAATTGCATTCTGGCTTGGAAGGCATGACTGTGTGCTGGTGTTTATAAGGGAACACTGGCAGCTCCATCCATTGCAACTGACAGCAATAGTAATGGCACGCACCAGAGTCCCTCCCAGGATACGTGGTAGTGGGAGCAAAGTTGAACATTTACTTCAAGAAGTAGTAATGTAACTACTTATTGAAGAACATTTCTGCTACAAATTACACATGTTTATGTAGTGAGCTGTCATGTAAACAAATGGAATCTAAATAAACTGCTCAGAGATACACAAGTCTTATCAAAATTTAAAAATCTGTCAGCGCTCTTAATCTGTAGAGATTAGTTTGGGAAATATACTGTCGGTATTTGGGACAAAGTGCAAAATCCCAGTGTGTTCCCTAGTGCAAAAGAGGGTGTTGTCATTGCAACTTCAGCACTGATCTGAATTTACAGCAGTGTAAACAGCAGCTGAGCTGGTTCCTTGTCATTCACTCTCCTGATCTGTACCTTGCACATCTGATTAAATGCAACTTTGATTGGTTACTAAACCTAAATGAAATCTACACATTTAATTTGCAAAAATGTAAGATAATTAACTTTTTGTCATCTTTTCAAAAGCCAGAAAATCTGCTTATTGATTTAAGAATCCCAGTACCTCGTGTCAAGATCATTGATTTGGAAGATGCAGTTCAGATCACAGGCCATTACCACGTCCACCACCTCCTCGGAAATCCAGAGTTCGCAGCTCCTGAAGTTATCCAAGGCCTTCCTGTCTCCCTGAGCACAGATATCTGGAGCATTGGGGTCCTCACCTACGTCATGTTAAGTGGTGTCTCTCCATTCCTGGATGAAAGCAAAGAGGAGACTTGTATCAATGTGTGCAGAGTAGATTTCAGCTTTCCACCCGAGTACTTCTCCGATGTGAGTCATGCTGCCAGGGATTTCATCAACGTTATCCTCCAGGAAGACTTCAGGAGAAGGCCAACAGCAGCCACTTGTTTACAGCATCCGTGGCTGCAACCGCACAACGGCAGCTATTCCAAGATCCCACTGGATACCTCACGCTTGGCTTCCTTCATCGAGCGCCGCAGGCACCAGTACGACGTGCACCCAGTCCCCAGCGTCAAGAGTTTCCTGATGAGCAGGCTGAACCCAGGCACGTAATGCCTCCATCCCTGGGGTCCTACACTGCTGGTCCTGAGGCCAGGCGCAGGGAGCGAGGAGCAGCAAAGCAGATCTGTCTGTACATAGTCCCGTATTCGGCGTTTGCATTTCACGTGGCTTCCCTAACTGCAGGTTACAAATCATGGCGGAGGTGGCAGTACCTGCCCAGTTCCTCAGGACCAAAGTGAAGGGGGTAACAGCGATGGGTACCCTCTCCCTCCACTTGGTGGGCTCCTCTTGGGACACGTGGTATTGTCATATCCACCGCCAAAAAAGTACTGCGGGAAGCAAACACCAACTGGAAATGAGAGCCAAAATTGCAGTTGCCTTAATCTTTGTGAGGCAGCCTTCTAAGAAATCCTCTTGATCTTGCTGAACTGATTTCAAAATGTACGAGAGATTAGGAGTAGGCTAGCTGGGGGGGAGAGAGACTAGGCTGACCTTAGCATGTACTGCAGAACTGGACTGAAGTCAGTTTTTGGTGCAGTTATTGCAAGCCTGCTCCAGGTTAACAGACAGATTTTGCACGCCCCATATGCCTGGGTTTGCCAGGATTTCAGTGGGGACTTTACTTGCATAGGACATGCAAGATCAGGCCCTAGTCACTGCTGGATCAGCTTCTGTGGTGGCATGGCTTGGATACACTCTCGTTGCGTGCTAGTGCTCAGACCAAAATCCCCCGTTAATCCTTGGGCCTTTTGCTGTGTCAAGTCAACATGCAGTACTTTTCAGAGCTACGATTAAGGCACTGAATTCATTGGAGCATACAGCTGGTTTTGACTAAGCACAATGGGACTATGATGGGTTTTTTAAAAGCATTTTATACACACTGTACAGAAATCTTTTGCAAAACCTGTGCATTGAGAAAAGGCTGTGTCCAATTTTTGCAGTATCTGTAAACTAGATGATGATGATGATGAAGACAAATTTTTTCTATCACAGGTTTTCAGTATACATATATTGTATCATATATATAAATATATATATATAAAGGATCCTGTTCCATTTCTAGCTTCAGTATTGCTTGGCCCAAAGTCCATCTAAGCCTTTCAGAGTGCAGTAGGAGTGGTGAGTTCATCCTTGTACTTACAGCTTGAAAATCTTTTTCAGTGTTCAAAGTATGTCATTCATTTCATTTCCAAACTTGTAAATATCTCTCAGCTGCCGTTAGCACCTCATCACCAAAGCATTCGTGAGGATATTTTTATGTCCAAAACCTAATTTGTAATAAAATAAAAAATATTCACAATTAAAACATTTCTCTCTTGCAAGCCAAATTGCAACATCATCATATTGATGTTACAGTGATGGAGCCAGCCTTAAGTATAACCAATGCAGGGAGCCTGCAGTCACAAATCAGCAGTTTGCAGGCTGGCCAAATCCTCCTCTCTAGCAGTGGGACTGGGAGGGGAGACACCTCCCTGGCTGGTGCTTCCCCATCCTGCTGCCACACTGTAATACTCTATAGCCTTGTAGGGTGAGGATCAAAGAGATTTTTTTTTCCCCTGGCATGCGAGGACTTTGTCTTGGTGCTGAGTGCCGTTGCTGTGCCTGTAATGGGAAATGCCAGTTGTTACCAAAGGTTTTCCTAAGGAAAAGGGCTTGATTTGACCACGTGTGCTCAGTACAGACTCTCCTGTAAGGACAAGAGTCAAATTTAATTTACCATCCAAGTAACTGCACTGTGACCTGCAATATATCTGCAGGAGCAAAAACTGTTCTCTGCCAGCAGGTGGTGGAGATACTCTGCAAATACTGTTAAATTCTTGGGGCTCTGCTAGCCCTTTTTCTGATCCATCTCCAAGCTCAGTTTCACGGCAGGTAGGAGACCTGGCGCTTCTCTTTGTGCTTGCTCTGTCAGTAAGCTGGAGTGGTCAGTATTTTGCTAGTGGAGAAGAAAGGAGGCATAGTAAAAAAACCCAACATTCAGCACCACGTGCATGCAGTACAAGAGCAGACCTTGAGGTTGGGGAGCCACAGTCCGAAGGGTGAGCCCGGGTGCCTGAGCAGAGTCAGAAGTGATGTATGAGGCTGTGTGGCTGATGGAGAGAAATCTAATACAGGGGGAAGTTGTGGAAAGGCTTGTGTTCACAGAGGCTAAACCTTCTGGATCAGCTAGAACCTCTCTCAGTTGCACTCTGTAGTGCAGCAGCTAATTTTCTAAGCAATCCAGCAGCACCTCTTAGACAAAGACCAGACTCTCATCCTGAGCACGAGTGTGAAGTATGTGATCTCTTAGCAACTGAAACTTCTTCAGACAGCAGTCATGAAAGGTTGTCTTTAATTAGCACCAGCCTCAGGTACTTTCTCACTACAGGACTGTTTGTACTTTATCCTAGCTGTCAAAGCTGGCTCTTTGTGCTCTGTGCTGCCCTTAAAAAAATGTTTATGGAAGTGTGGTTTATAAAACTCACAGCTTTTATTAGGCCTGTGGGTACAGTTTAAGCCACAGTCTTTCTGCTTGGCATTAATACAAACAAATTCTCATGTATCACATTAAATCCAGAGTTATTTATAATTTTATTTTCCTACCTCCTAGATTCGCATCTCAGACTGCAACAGCAGACACTTTGGATGCACAGAGAGGAAAAGCTGGATTGTTAAAGGGAATAGTTAAGGCTCTTGTTGCTATCAAATAACAGAAAAAAAAAAAAAACAAAACAAACAAAAGGCTGAAGGAGGATATACTGATGCTTAGATTAAAAAAAGAGATTCCTCATCAAGAGAGAGCTGGAGGAGCTGAACTCTGAAGATTTTGAATGTTATGGGATTGCTTTCCTTTATGGTTCTGCTTTTTCCATATTCATGTTAGAGAACTACTCTTCCTGGGCATTGCTCTTCTTAAAGCACATTCAGGAAAACTTGAACCTGTTAGTACTTCCAGATATGTTTGTGATTATTAACCGTTCTTGCATTTTATCTCAAAGATTTCTTTTGCCTGAGTAATATCAAGTTGACATGAAGTGCTGCTGTATGATAAATACAAAGTATTCTGAACTTGCTCTCTCGAGGTCTTTTTCAGCCAACCTGTTGTCTCCCTGCAGATCCAACAGGTCCTGTAACTCTGTTGTAAACTGTAACTCTGTTGTAAAGAGACTACAGAAGCTTGGTAAGTAGGCCTGGAGTGAGCCCACTGGGTGAGAAGCACCACAGCCGACCCCCTTTGCAGCATTCTCCAACTACTGGGTTTTTTGTGTGCATGGAATATTGCCTGTAACAAACATGGGGAAACAGAGTTTCTGATAAAGCTCCGTTCGGCCTTTACAAAGTTCCCCAGAGAGCAGCTGACTCCGAGGGGAAGATTTCCACCTGTAGCTTTACCATTCAGGGTATTCCCAAGACGGCCAAGTGAAGGCGTGATGGTAGCTGCACGCTCTAGCTTCTGTGGCAGCTTCAGACCAGCTAGAATGACCAACAGTAACACTAGCAAGGGAGCACCACAAGCCCGGTGCAGACTGGCACTACGCACACAGCCACCCCTTCAGACACCTTCACGGTGCTCTTATCCCGCACTGACATCAAAGTGCACTTGCTCACAGTGTCCCCCGGCGCTGGGCTGGGTGACAGGCCTGCAGAAAGGCAGCGGCAAAGGCAGTGGCAAAGGCACCCAGAGGGCATGGGGACACTCAATGCTCATTATTTAAGACGGCTATGTTTAATGAACACACATGGCAATGAGAAACTAGCTCAGCTCCCTCTCTTTCCACTCCTCTTGGAGCAGCCAGGCCAGGGTGTTTCACCCTTAGCCATTGAATAGGAAATCTGATTGCCCACGTAACACTGTCAGCTCCCACCAGGTGCCCCAAGCACTTGCTGCCCTGTGGGTGATCCACCAAGCTTGCCAAGCCCCCTGTGCATGTTACGACAGCGATGACACACTGTAGCCAGTCCAGGGTTTTAGACTTTAATATTTTAAAGCAATCCAGACTTTAAAATTTGTAAAATTTCTTGCTTACTTCTTGTACCAATAAGTTTTCTTTAGTCTTACTGCCTTTTTTTTTTTTCAGTATCATTTATCTTTAAAAGCATTTTACTTTTAAGCTAAGTTAATGCTGAGACAAAGTCCATGCCCTCAACTGACTTGTACCAAGTTCTGTGGCTTCAGTGGAGTTCATGAGCATTTCTGATGATGCTATTAGGCCTTTGTTACAAATACAGTGAATAAAGGCTAAACGCAGAACCACACATTATGACCTGACTATATATAACCATATTTTAATACCCCTGCAATGACGGGACTGCATCAAGTGACCTGGGATATTATAAACTTCAGAGACAGATATAAAGGCTAGTCTGTGTATACAAAGGTCTAACACAGGGGCTAACCACGTGGTTTTGTTGCTGTTCCTTTTGCTGCAGAGGTAGATTCTCCTCTAACACAGGGCTTGGATTTATTTTCCAGCTCATTATTTCATGTCCCATCAGAAAATGGTGCTTTCCCAAGGAAACAAAATAAAATCCCATTTTACTAGGCTGACTGCATACTGCCATCAAGTGATGAATTCTCATTCTGGGATCTGTATAGTGGTGAGTGTTACCATAGCGTCAGGATGCTGAATATTTTATGTAACTGTAGTCTTTATTATGAAGCTAGTGAAAAAAAAAATCTCTACTCAAGCCGTATCTCACCTTCATGTACAACTTATGATGCTGGTGCTTTTACTTCTCTTTCTACCAAACTGTTCAGCCTTGCTCTGCCACTGAAGTCAATTTGCTGATAACTTTTGGAAGGAAAACACAATAGAAAGTGCAAAAAAAGAAGAAAAAAATGAAATCTCAGACACATACACTGAGATAAGAGCAAACAGTTGGAACGTATTGATGCTTTTCAATCTTTGCAACAATCAACCGAAGGAGGAAAAAAGAAACAGTATTGCTAACAGCTCAGCATTTTCAAGGTGCAAAGTAATTCCACAGCCTTAATTATTTCAGTGTATTGCTGGTCTGCCTTAAATGTATCTTCAGTTTTATTGCAAGTTTCATTTTGTATGCACACAATG